ATGCCTCAATTTGCACGAAAGATGGGGAAGGTGCGAATGAAATGAAAGCCCTTCATGAGGAGATCACTACCTCATTAGTTAGAGAGCGATTATTTCGATTTAGATCTGTTGTAAACACAATATGATTAGGGGTCTATGTTTGTTTTCAAACAAATATTTCAATTTTAATGATCTCTTTTTTCATTACCTGATATGTTAGTAATTATGTTTTATGTTGCATTGCTTTTTAGGATAATATGAGTTCTAGGATGTCCGCTACCTCCCGAGGAGTGGTTTGTCATTGTGGCCTGCAAACCACACTTTTGACCTCACGACAAGCACATAGTTATGGTAGGAAGTTTTATACATGCCCCTGAAGCATTGCCGATCAATGCAGATTTTTCCGATGGGCGGACAGTTTCTCTTATGCTGAGTATGATATTGGTAGCGATTTGCGAGTTTCAGATGACGAAGAGCAAACACGGGAGCTACAACGTGTCATTGTTAGAAATAACATTACCATTATGCTACTCGTCGTGGTCGTAGTTTTACAGTTTTTTTACGTCTTTATGTAAGAAAAAATGACTTCATATGGCTTGAGGTGCTTTTATATATTTTACATTTTATGCTTCTAAAATATGTTTGTAAATTTTTATATGTATAGATGAATTAATATTTGTATACATTGATATATAGATAAAGATAAATTTTAAACTTATATGTGTTTAAAATTACAAAATATTTTTTAAAAATTATCTATAAAAATGAATGTTGAAAACAATTTATTTCATTTAATTAACTAAGAAATAATATTTTTATAAACTTTATGTATATTAAACCCATATTTATACAAATAAATCAAAAATTTTAAACAATTTTAACAAACAGAGGCAGTTTGTTCATCTTTACATTAAACAACTGACTCACAGTATTTTTCACGCAGCTGCACCAAACAGACAGTCAACTTCCCCACAGCTGCTTCCTGGTGGCTTCCTGGGGCAGCGCAGCTGTAGCAAAGCTGATGAGAATCTGCAGCTGCGCCAAACAAACCCTAAGGCTGCCCAAAGAGGAGAGGAAGTGTGAGGAGAGAGTTTGAATTGTGGGTGAAGTTACACATCATTAATTTTGAAGACAACTAGTGCATCGAATTGACCAATTATATTGATAAACAATATATTTATTTATATGCATCATTTCACATACCACAAAATTCTTATGTACTTTTATATCTAACACCTAAATTCAAAAAATTCTAGGGTCAATTACATACATACCACCCAATTCTAATGTATTTATATATCTAACATCTGAATGCAGGAAAAATTCTAGGGGCATTTACATACATACCACCCAATTCTTATGTATTTACATATCTAACAACTAAATTTGACTTTTTACATTTATACAAACCAAATCTATAATATTGTATCTAAGATATCACTATTTTAACTTTTATATATTATTTATTTATTATTTAATTAATACAAGCTCTTTTACAGCCCTGATTTAAAATTCAAATAATACAATGTATATGTTAAATAGTGAGAAATCAAATTATGGAAAATATATACAATATATTGCTAAAATATAACTTTATAGGTGTGCATTCGATTAAATCAATTCTACACAATAGCAATACACATCTAAGCACCGATAATGAATTAAACCATTGTAAGATCGTTCATATGAGTTTATTAGTATACACCATCTTATAAAGATATTTCTTGCAAACACCAGTATATGAGTGCCACTAACAACATATGATAGAATGAAAAAATGATTCCTCAAAAAAAGAGTAATATATTAAACATAATAATTATATTTACTGGTGATTTGGCATATGAATCATAGACAAAATAGGATATCACATAAACATGAAGGCATATAAATACTAATTAAATGAGAAAATAAACTAAAATGTAGAGCAACTGGACACAATCTATGGATAACAATACCCTTGGATTGAAATTAGATTAGATTAGATTTGGATTTAATCTTTAGCCTACTCCTTGCAACCATATTTAAATAACTAAGGATTGAAGGATTTTGTTCTACATAGATGAATGAAATTATTTTGTGAAATCAAACTAGTGTTCTCGCTTTTGATCAAGTTGTAAATGTTGTATAATAGAATTCTCATAGAAATTAAGGGTCATAAATAAATCAAGTATTTGATCAAGAACATGAACTAAGAGCAATCATGAAAAACATGTTGTACTAAAAATAATAAATAAATAAGGCAGACTAATTATCAGTTTAAGAAAATATAAATAAAAAAGGAAAACCACTAAATAAAAATCAAGACCTCACGCAGGTATAAGAAAATAGCTTTTTATGAGAATTTCTAGCACCAAATTGCATCATACTAGAAAAAAAAACACATCCAATCACACTCAAGCAAATATGAAAATAATATGAACTAAGAGTAAACTATCAACGTAAATCTCCAAATTTAATAATAATAATAATAATAATAATAATAATAATAATAATAATAATAATAATAATAATAATAATAATAATAATAATAATAATAATAATAATAATAATAATAATAATAATAATAATAATAATAATAATAATAATAATAATAATAATAATAATAATAATAATAATAATAATAATAATAATAAATATAATAATAATAAAAGTTTCCAAAATAAGAAGATAAGATTTGACAAGTTTTTATTCAAATTTATAACACCACAAAGTTGTGGCTTGAGTGCAAATAAGATTGCATGTGCCATGATCATACATCCATACATGTGCCATGATCGGAGACAAACACAGACATACATGCACACATATATATACATACAAATATGCACACAACACACATACAAAAATACAAATACACATGCGTGCATGCAGATTGGCAAATATACATACATACATACATACATACATAGAAACACACATGCATACACACAATACACATACAAACATACAAAAATACAAATACACATGCATGCATGCAGATTGGCAAATATACATACATACATACATACATAGAAACACACATGCATACATACATACATGTATAAACACACAGACATGCAAGCACACGCACACGCGCTCCCACGCACAGGCACGCGCACGCGCGTGCACAGATATACATACATATACAAACATAGCTAAACCTACATATGCCATGATCAGAGGCACACACACAGACACACACACAGACACACACAGACACAGACACGCACACGCACGCACACACACACACACACACACACACACACA